AGCCTGGGCGGACTGCTGTGGAAACGGTGAAGCCTGCGCAGATGGCTGTCCAAACGCTGAAGCCTGGGCAGACTGCTGTGGAAACGCTGAAGTCTGCGCAGATGGCTGTCCAAAGGCCGGGGCTTGTCCAAACATATTGCTTCCTTGAGGGGGCGGCTGACCGAAAAATCCCACACTCTGCGGGGCCTGTGTGCTGGAGCTCTGCTGCCCAAATGACGAGAACAAGCTGGGCTTCACGCTGCTGCTCGGGACTTGGAAAGCTCCTCCATGGGCACTACCGAACGGATTGGGTGTATTCATGGCTCAAATAACGTTTTATGTTAACGTTTTTAAGCATTCGAATAGCAACAAGCAGTAAGGCAGTTCCGGCCTGAGGAGAATTTAAGCTTAAAAGCTGATAAAAAAAAGAGACGAAAACAGACTCGTAGCTACACTGCTAGCACAGGCTAACACCATGAAAGTATTACTTAGTAAAGTTTGTTTGGGTGCTCATAAAGTTCCCCAGTTAACAGAATTATAGGAATACCCGAAGAAGTGCGTCAAAAAAGATCCCACCTTTTACTGTTTTGTGTTGCTTTTTTGGCTCACGTTTTTCTAAATCCGGTTCCGGTCCGACAAACTTATCAGTCCTCCTTCTGCTAGTAATGCTAAACCATTCGTTCCGCTATGGCCAATGAGGCGGTTGTTAACAGATAAGCGACCATATCTCTTAAAAGAAAGAATATATTTCATGAATGTAAATTAGGTTATCAGAGCTGTATAAACCAGAAAAGAACTACACTATCTACTTCCCGGGGACTGCATTCGTGTCACCTCGGAGACTACAGTTTGCTTGTGGCTAACGGCGAAGCTCACCAACCGACAATAAAGTGCTGCCAGGTAGGAGATAGGTTAGTGGGTAACCTTCACCTATGTACCGAGATCTTTCCGTAGCTGTGTTCTCTTCTCGTGTCGGCTGTTTAAAATGGGAGTCGTTTTGAGGAACCTCCAGAAGGTGGTGCCTCTTCGGCGCGCCAGGCTGCGCAGGGACGTGGTCACGCTGAGACAGATACTGGGCATCCAGAAGTTCGACCTGGGTATCATCTGCGTGGACAACCAGAAGATGCAGCAGATCAATCACATCTACAGGAAGAAGAACACACCCACGGATGTCCTGTCTTTCCCATTCTACGAGGTAAACATGGCAGCTAAACGTTTTGAATGAACACACTTCTGTTAGTGGAGATCTGGTGGTGGTGGGGGTGTGTTCTGGACGTCTTCTTCTGTTTTTGATTTATTACACTGCTTTGTGTGCAATAAAAGATTCATAAAGTTTCAAAGGCCAAATGGAGCTTCAGAAAAAGCCTCCTTTGTCGTCCAGCTGCTTCTTCTGTGACTCATCAACGTCACCATCTAACAGCATGGGCAAGCAGAGCCTTTGAATGGACTTATCAAGAGCTGTAGGGCAAACTACAGTCAGGGGGTCACAGGCAGCTGTGAACCATCTTAATCTGGCCCTCCACATCCTGAAAGGGAAATAAAACAACCCCAATTAGAAAGCTGAAGGCTGATTTGATTTCATTGTAACTGTCAGCCATGTGTCAGTATCAGTTTTCCACTGTGTAAAGCTTGGCCGAAAAAAATGGCATTGGTACAGTAAAATTATGCCTTTGGTGTGAATGGCTACATTAGGCATAGATGAGTCTGAAGAGTATTTTTTAAGCTCAAAATATTTCTACAGATCTTACACGTATGCTGTGTAAAAGGCTTTCAGTCAAAACTGTTGCCCAATGCTTGCATCATGGCTAATAGTGTCCTTTTCTAATCATCCATATTATCTTCTATGGAAAGCGGCATGAGGTGAATAAGAGTTTTGAAAGAGAGATAGTGTATGCACATTATTTTACTGTTTGGGCATCTATTTGTATTTAGCAGCTCCTTTAATATTAATGTTATTTAATATTCACTCAGGGACGGAAATTGGTGGCTTTCCATCTATTTTAAACCAAAACTCTGAACCTTACTGGTCTGCACCAGGTTACCTGTTTGGCATACAGTGGGGCAAAAAAGTATTTAGTCAGCCACCGATTGTGCAAGTTCCCCCACCTAAAATGATGACAGAGGTCAGTAATTTGCACCAGAGGTACACTTCAACTGTGAGAGACAGAATGTGAAAAAAAAATCCATGAATCCACATGGTAGGATTTGTAAAGAATTTATTCGTAAATCAGGGTGGAAAATAAGTATTTGGTCAATAACAAAAATACAACTCAATACTTTGTAACATAACCTTTGTTGGCAATAACAGAGGTCAAACGTTTACTATAGGTCTTTACCAGGTTTGCACACACAGTAGCTGGTATTTTGGCCCATTCCTCCATGCAGATCTTCTCGAGAGCAGTGATGTTTTGGGGCTGTCGCCGAGCAACACGGACTTTCAACTCCCGCCACAGATTTTCTATGGGGTTGAGGTCTGGAGACTGGCTAGGCCACTCCAGGACTTTCAAATGCTTCTTACGGAGCCACTCCTTTGTTGCCCGGGCGGTGTGTTTTGGATCATTGTCATGTTGGAAGACCCAGCCTCGTTTCAGCTTCAAAGTTCTCACTGATGGAAGGAGGTTTTGGCTCAAAATCTCACGATACATGGCCCCATTCATTCTGTCCTTAACACGGATCAGTCGTCCTGTCCCCTTGGCAGAAAAACAGCCCCATAGCATGATGTTTCCACCCTCATGCTTCACAGTAGGTATGGTGTTCTTGGGATGCAACTCGGTATTCTTCTTCCTCCAAACACGACGAGTTGAGTTTATACCAAAAAGTTCTATTTTGGTTTCATCTGACCACATGACATTCTCCCAATCCTCTGCTGTATCATCCATGTGCTCTCTGGCAAACTTCAGACGGGCCTGGACATGCACTGGCTTCAGCAGCGGAACACGTCTGGCACTGCGGGATTTGATTCCCTGCCGTTGTAGTGTGTTACTGATGGTGACCTTTGTTACTTTGGTCCCAGCTCTCTGCAGGTCATTCACCAGGTCCCCCCGTGTGGTTCTGGGATCTTTGCTCACCGTTCTCATGATCATTTTGACCCCACGGGATGAGATCTTGCGTGGAGCCCCAGATCGTGGGAGATTATCAGTGGTCTTGTATGTCTTCCATTTTCTGATGATTGCTCCCACAGTTGATTTTTTCACACCAAGCTGCTTGCCTATTGTGGATTCACTCTTCCCAGTCTGGTGCAGGTCTACAATACTTTTCCTGGTGTCCTTCGAAAGCTCTTTGGTCTTGGCCATGGCGGAGTTTGGAGTCTGACTGTTTGAGGCTGTGGACAGGTGTCTTTTATACAGATGATGAGTTCAAACAGGTGCCATTCATACAGGTAACAAGTGGGGGACAGAAAAGCGTCATACAGAAGACGTTACAGGTCTGTGAGAGCCAGAGATTTTCCTTGTTTGAGGTGACCAAATACTTATTTTCCACCCTGATTTACGAATAAATTCTTTACAAATCCTACCATGTGAATTCATGGATTTTTTTTTCACATTCTGTCTCTCACAGTTGAAGTGTACCTCTGGTGCAAATTACTGACCTCTGTCATCATTTTAAGTGGGGGAACTTGCACAATCAGTGGCTGACTAAATACTTTTTTGCCCCACTGTATATTACCATGGTGATATAGCCAGGTAAAAAATAAAATAAAATAAAAGAGAGCAACCTTCATGGCACTAAAAACTTTCACTCTAGGCTCAGCATAGTAGTACATCTCTCTGATCACTTCACTCAGTTTGGAAAGCTTCCTTAAAGGGCCTCTTTTTATTTACCCTCTACAGAATTTAACTAACACTTTCACCACTAGGGTGCAGCGTTACTCAAGACTTAACTAGTCAAAATTGAGGTTAAGTTGACCTACTGTGCTATCTTGTGGGAAAGACATGAACACAATCTGCAGGGTTGGGGTAACTTCTCCACTCAAATATCTATGTGTTTTGTGGGGGTTTATTTAAGGACCTGAGGCCCGGGAAGTTGCCCTGCCCCCTTCACAGAGACGAGCTGAACCTTGGAGATATCTTCCTTGGGGTGGAGTTTGTGATGAAGCAGTGTCAGGAGGAATCCCTGGATCTGCACGGAGCGCTGACTGTATGAAACAGTAACTTAAGTTATCCTGTCTCTCATGCGTGTAATCCGTCAATGCTTCCAAATGAGGCACAGCAGTACCATTTTCTGTGATTAACTGTTTCATTGTTCCTGTTTCAGGTTGTCACTGCGCACGGGATCTGCCACCTGCTGGGCTACAGGCACGAGACAGAGGAAGAATGGACTGAGGTTTGTAAGGAGACAGTGGCTTTGTGTCCAAATTCATTCCTCCACTCAGACTATAGCTCAAATGGAAATACACTTTGTGCTCAAGTCACAAGATCACGACCCATTAGAAGTCCTTAGAAGATGCCTCCATCATCACATCTACAAAGACTCAGTTTTTTCCTTTAATCTGTCATCCATAGGTAGATCTATATGAGCTGAGTCTTTTTTTTATTTTTATTTTTATACCAAATTTATGAACTTCAAACTGTGTGATGTCTGGATGTTCGATGTTGATTAAAGGTGTAACATGTTTGCAGATGCAGCAGAGAGAAAACTACATCCTGAGCGAGTACAGCAGACTCACAGGCCGACACCTAGACCCCCTGATGAAGAGGTGCAGTCAGGACAGGTGACCCTGACTGCTGCCTGCAGGCCTGAGATTAAATATTGCACTATGTGATGGTGGAAACTGCTTCTATACTGTTGTGGTTCTTATATTTATTTGAAGACACCCACTACAGTCTGTATTATAAAATGACTTGTCACTAAACAGTCTGACCTCCTGAAAAAACACTTGATGTGAGCTCTGCTGAAGAGTTTCAAACACCAAAAAACGTCTCAGTTCTTTCATTGGAATATTTTATTAAAATCTGCTTTAGGAAGAGTCGGTTGTGTATGAAGGGTAGAAAAAGCTGTTCATTCTCACTTCACTAATACATGTTATGCTCTTTACACTGCGTGTAGGACAGCATGTTCAGGAGAGGCATTTAAGAAACGTCAATCAATGCAGACATTAAAACACCTGGAGAATTAACACAGCGTGGTGCAACAGGAAGTCGGCTAATCAGTGCACACTTCCTAAAATCCCCAAATATAAAGACAGAAGTTGTGTCAAATTTGGTCTGCAGTGATTTAATTTTTAGAAATTAATGCCATGTTGTGCTAATTTGAGGGAATAATCTGCTGTACAGATTAAGTCTATAATAGCATGTTTGCGAGTGAGCTTTTTTTTCTTCCCTTTCACAGAATAAAAGTTACACAGCCGGTGCCCAGTAATAAACAGAATATTCCACATATTTCATGCCTGACAGGAACTGGTTCATAAAGTGCCCCTTTTATGCTTTTTAAAAATTAAAAATAAAATCTCCCTACAGTTATAGACCAGAAGACAAACAGAAGTGAAAATATCCAGCATCTCCAACACTCACTACTGTTTATTTATTCCATCATTGAATAAATACTTGTAGGGTGAAACTGCTTTAAAACAAAAACACAGAGCTGCTAAAAGGCATTGTTTGTAGTCCATAACGAATCTACATCACGATGTACTGCCTTAGTAGCAGTGAGTTTGGCACATTTTGAAATAAAGAATCAACAGCTGATTCCGACTGTATTTACAGGTAAAAACGTCTTCCAAACATGGCTACAGCTTTAACAGTCAGTCTGAGAATATTAATGTTATCAACTGACCAATCAGAGCAGAAGACAGGTGCCTTGAAGGGACAGGCACTAAAACGGAGCAGATAACGGGTTCCTTCCCTGAACAATAAGGCGTTTAATCCCACAGTTACACTTTAGCCATGTAAATGAGCATAACAGGGGCACTTTAAATGCTTAACACTTGTTCTAAAGGTGTTGAAATAAAAGATATTATGCAACAGGTACTGTATCTTCTCTGGTTATAAAGTAGTAATGACTTCCATTTGCCTTGGCTCATATTTTGGGCTAATTAAGAGAAACCAACCCCCTTCTATATGCAATAAATATAAAAATCTGTTGGCTTTATAGAAGAAACTCTGACTTGCACACTGTTTCAGATTTGACAAACATTCAAAAACAACAAGGTTGTGCGACTTTCCAAAGTAAAGCTTGTATACACATATTTATAAAACTTTTCTTGGGAGGCACAAGGTCAAAACCCCAAACAAACAAAGTGTGATCAACTGAGAAAAGCTCAGTTAAATATTAATGCACGTTCTTTCACACCTCTAAAATATGGAAATAATCACACAAAAAAATATCAGGTTGCACATGAAGTACAAAAAGCAACTGGGAAGACATCCACACTGTGGGGACAGAAAGCTGTTTTGAATGGACCAGTTTGTGCCAGTAACAAATATTGCACCAAATGTACCCGCTAAATACAACAACCCTCTAAATTCTATAATAGCTTATACTCCAACATAGAATATATCTTTATTTTGCTTATATGGGAAATAAAGGGGTCTGCAAACATACAATCTACGAAGCACCAGGAGCGCCCAGTGTTTGATAGTTTGAAGTAAAAGTCTGAAGAAAAGTCTTTAAGAAAGAAACAACAAAATTAAACCTTACAAAACAGTTGATAAAATTATAGCAAAGAAAGACTCCAGCCCCAAAAACACGGAGGCAAAAATTGATCCACGGAACATTTTAACTGCATTTCTGAAAGAGTCTTGACAGGTCAGCCCCTGTGTCGGCATCATCAGGTGTTATTTTTATCCTGGCCTTTAGTGATCTGTAGAGGAAAAAGGAAATGCCTGAAGGCTACCTAAAAGGGACGGCAATCAGTAGTATAGGAGGATTCACAGGGCAGCTTTATCTAACAGGATCAGCTGTGGTTGAGTGTGGGTGGGCGTCCAAAGACGTTGCGCTCAGAGGGGCTGCAGGACATTCCTTCCTGCCTCTGAGGTGCTTCCGGCTCCAGATCTCTCCATCTCAGATAGCTGCTCGAACACATCCCTGAGAGATCACAAGGTAGCAGCGTGTTATTAGCAGAGCATCTCACATCATTACAGTGACATCTATAACCAGCTGACAGGAGGACTTGCACACTCACTTGTGCATGTAGAAGAAGATGTATCCGCTACGGTCACGGTCTCGCTGGACAGCTGCTTCCTGCGTGCGAGACACGTCCAGGTCATTGTAGGTCAGCCACGAATGTTTCTTCATGTCGTACACGTCACTGATGTAATGGCCTACAGGGAAGATAAAGATGGGGAACAATCTATCAATATTTGTTCACAGAGCAAGCATTTGGTTCTTGAAGTCTATAGTCACGACAGCGACAGACACAGAGGGCATACCTACGCCATCCACGTATAGACAAGGATGATGTCACCAGCATTTATCCAAAGTTATTGGACAAATATAACCTCTGCCTGACACATGAGCTAACTTTATGGTTCTAGCTTTAGTATACAGTCAGGTAAATAAGTGTTTGGACAATGATACTTTTTCTTTTTTTTTTGTAAATTCCACTGTGTTGGTGGCCTGAAAGATTACAAAACAAAAAACATTTTTATAGCCACATTATCAGTGGCTCCTCCTAAAACCTACAACCATTAAGTTAGCTAATGTCTTAGATTTCAATTCTGTTTTACCTGTTCAGCTAATATTCATCATCTAATATCAGATCAGGACAGGCTAGATCATGTTTTTGCTGAAAGGTGCTGACCATTATTTGAGGCTCTCACAAAATTTACTGCTGAAGACAAAACTAAAGGCAAGAGACCCACAAACTCACACCAAGTAAAGACCACACAGTTTCATCCAGCAGTGTTTTCTCTGATAATTTAAGGATTCTTAATATAAATAAACTTTATTTCTGGCTGCCAATTTCTTCATTGACATTTGAGATAATAAGGGATATAAATAAAGCAGCGTAAACATCAAAGCAGTTCCTTAAAGTGTTCATATACAGTTTTGACTTAAAGCTCATCTTCATTGTTCCTGAATAATTTGTCACTGTCAAAACACATGAGGACCTAAACTCGGAGGCACAAACAAACACAAGTGCTCACCAGAGGAGGAGCTGCTCCCGATGTGACTGACCACACTGATGAGTCTGAACGAGTTGGCCAACTCCCCACTCTGTGGATTACAGGATACATAGGCAGGTTAATGCAGGCCAACAACCAATAAGTTATCATCAGTCTGCTGCTTTATTTAATTTATTCTGCAGTTTCTTAATCAGTGTGTGTATTTCACCATGTTCTGATTCATAATCAACTCAGTGTCCTGCAGATTATCTAAGACTTTATCTGTGGTGTGTAAACTGACCCTTTATTAAGGTTTACATTTGTAAAACACTGTTTTTATTTTTGCATAGTGATTATACATCCGTTGTATTTAAGGTGAATAAACTATTTGCTGTTTTTTGTGCTCTGCAGCATTTTACACTGTGTGCCAGCTGGATATACCTCTGCGTTTCTCTTCAGGTTCTCGGCTTCTGCTTCAGTGTACTCCATGTCCAGCACGTCCTCGTTGCCAGAGTCATCATCCGAGCAGAGCAGATCGGGCAGGGAGTTGTTAAACTCTGTTGAATGAGGAGGAGATGATGACGCAGGTGCAGTATTTTCACATTGCTCAGAGTCTGATTAAAGAACACTTTAAACATTTGTTTGTGCTGACTAAACAGATCTGCAAATATCCAGTCAAATTTCTTTGTTTAGTAGCTGCGTTCAGTCTTATTTACATCGCCACACTGCTGCCAGCTGAGCGGGATCAACAGCAACCATCACAATACAAAAAAAAAAAAAAATCAGCTGAACACAGTTGGTCAAAGAAGCGTGTGCTGACGATTCCTGGGAGTAAATTGTATTTCTTACCTTGCAAGCTGAGCTCAGTGGCTCTCTTCAAATCATCGTCCTCTCTCATCTCCTGAGCTTCCTGTAGAGATGATGTCATAAGTTTTATTTTCCTGCATCAGGTCTGTTAGTTGGTGAAAGACTTCAGAGTAGTCAATGATATTTAAGGATAATGAGAGATCTACTGTAATCTAACAGCAAATGGAAAGTCACCATTACTGGAAGCTAGAAAAAAAAATTGTTGTGAGCATCTAACACTGGTAGAACTGGTGCACCAAACTCAGGTGTTACATTGCATTATACAAAGGTCCATTTGGGTCAGAGGGATGTAAATGTAGCATCCCTTCTGATGGGCTCCAACCATTCTCTCTTCAGCAGCTGAAAGTAAGCACTTTTTCCATTTAGGTGCATCAAAGTGTCTCCACTGTGTTGAAATATGAAAACAATTGAGCTGCAGATGTGTTAAATGCTACACAGTCTCTCTCTGGTCTTACATGCTCCTGGAGGCTCTGTGCCAAAGCCTGCTGCAGCTCCTGTTCTTCTCTCTCCTGATCCAGATTGTACTGTTGGACCCAGTCCAGCTCCCCCTGCTGCTGACCACTCTCTGGAGTTTGGTTCTCCTTGTTTTCATCCATGGTCAGGTCCAAGGAGTCCAGCACATCTACAAGAGTTCAGCAAATACTCGAGTCAGCAAACCTGATACGTGAAGTTGGGGTTTTTTTTGTTGGATTTGTTGGTAACCCAGGGTTTATGTGAATGTAGAAACCCACAATCAATTTAAGCAGCATGTACTTTCAAGAGAATATGGAACGAAACATGAATGAGCCTTTCTTAGAAATGTCACATATAATAAAAACCTGATGCAGATCCCGTATTAAAAAACAAAAAAGTCTATTGCAAGTTTAAGTAC